GGTTTGATTGTAATATTGCCTTGGTATGTCATGTGGGAAAGGTCCAGTACCACCGCGATTTTCAGTGCAAAGGGAAAAAAAGTCCCTTCTAATGTCTTTGAGCAAAGGACAGTTCTTGAGCTTCCATAGAGGCTTTTCCATGTACAACTGACTCACAAAAAGAGAAGAATGATGTGTTTTGGCCATGGGTGCCATAACCTGTCATGCATCCAGTGATTAGTTAATGTGGCCAGGGTTTGGAAAAGTGGTTTAAGTGGGTGTCAGGTCTATGCATAACCTGAGGAAACAGTAAGAGTTAATAAGTGAGACCCAGTTTGAAGGACAGTCCATAGTAGAGGATCAGAGGGAAAATGGAATAGATTGAGACAATCAATATCCAATCAGCCTCTTTTTTTTTTTTTTTTGAAGATTTTAAGTAATCTCTACACCCAACATGGGGCTCGAACTCGCAACCCCGAGATCAAGAGTCGCATGCTCCACAGACTGAGCCAGCCAGGTGCCCCTCCAATCAGCCTTTTAATAAATGGCTAAAGAAAGGGGAGACTTTGTTAAAAGGAAGATTTTTTTTTTTCTTTTTTATTTCCTTCTGGGAGTAGGAAGACCCAGTGGGGGAGAAAATAGGTAGAAGTGAAGTTTCTTGATCTGTGATCGTGAGAAAAGCTGTCTACTTCATGATTTTGTCTGCTTTTGGGACCTGGGAATTTGCCTGGGAAATCCTTACTTTAAGGTCCCCCTAGGGATGGTCTTCCAATTGTCCTGGGAGTGCTGATCCTGGTCTAACTTAGCAGGGCTTGTGTGAATCCAGAAGGATTTTTCTTTTATTTTGATAGCAGTGTGAGTGGTTAGTAGTACTTCATAAAGGTCTTCTCAGTGAGATGATAATGTGTGCTTTCCTCTAAAAACGGTGTTGTATATCTAATTTTCTGGTCAAAAGGATGGCAAAGCTTGCCAGTCATCAGAGGCCATGCCATTTTTACCTGTTGATGATATGCTCCATTTAGACTAGTTAGGTCTTGTATACAGCTAGTCATAAGGACAGGAGAACAAAGGCAAAAGAATTGTAGATAAAATTAAACCTCTTTACAACTTGCAGTCCATTGACAAATACTTGAGGCAGGCAGAGTAGGACATTCCTCAAGGAACCCACAACTGATATAAGGTTCATGTTTTGCTAGAGGCAAAAAGCAACCTTAGGGGCGCCTGGGTGGCTCAGTTGGTTAAGCAACTGCCTTTGGCTCAGGTCATGATCCTGGAGTCCCAGGATCGAGTCCCGCATCGGGCTCCCTGCTCGGCAGGGAGTCTGCTTCTCCCTCTGACCCTCCCCCCTCTCATGTGCTCTCTCTCTCATTCTCTCTCTGTCAAATAAATAAATAAAATCTTAAAAAAAAAAAAAAAGCAACCTTAGTTTGACACCTCCAGGATCCTGTAAGTCTTCTTTAATATATGAAAATCCTTTTGGAAATTTTCCTTTATCTCTCCCCCTCCCAACTTAAAGTATATAACCAGTCTTTGTTCACAATGACATTGCATCTCTTGTTTGCCCATGGGTCCTGTCCCCTGCCATAATAAAAACATCTTTTTGCACTGTCTCAAGAATTCTTTTTGACCATTCACTCCCAGCCCACATTATATCAATAGCATCAAAATTTTCACTTACACTCCTATAAGGTTCACTCAATCCAGGAATAGAAGGTTTAGAGATGCCAGTAGGAATGGGTGAACAAATATTATTTCAAAAGATGTTATGTTTTCTCTTTGGAGTATTCCAGATGTTATAAGGGCCAGAGGTAATGCTCCTGGCCATTAAATCCAGTTTCTTGACAGATTTTTCCTCAAGTCTTCTTGATGTCTGGATTTTTATGTTCTCTTTGCCCTGAGGATTAGGGATGGTAAAGAGTGTGAAATTTTAATGAATACCCCAAAGTTTTTGCAAGCAAGTGGTTAATTTCTGCTGTAAAATTAGTTCCTTTCTCTGACCCAATCCATAAAAGAATGCCCAAACAAGGAATACTCTCAGTTATTAATTCTTCACCACTGTTGTGGCATTGGTACTTCTGGCTGGGTAACATTCAGTCCATCCACTAAATATACAGACAATAACCAAATAGTGGGAATAGCTTGACACTGGAGGTAAATCTATGGAATCCATTTTGGGGTTCCATAAGGGGGAATGTGGGCCTTGGAGGATTTCCTGAGGTATGTTGGTTTCCTCCAGAAATTTGGTGAGATTTATAAGTAGTACACTGGGAGATAATTTGGTCAGAAATTTTGTGGATGCCAGGGAAGAACCAATTATCTTTTAGTTCCTTAACTATCTCCCATCTATCCATATGTCCCATCTGATGGGAGATAAGTGCAAGTCAAAAGGACAAAAGAAAGGGGGCCACAGGAAGTCTGTTTGACCCAACGTATGATCTGTCTAATTTTTTGGCACCCTTTTGTATCCATTTGTCTTTTTCAAGATTGTGGGGTATTTGCTGAATAGTTAATAATATCAGGCAGGGATAAAAGCAGGTTTATAAATTGGGTGGAAAAAGGAAAGGAGTTCTATTTTGGGCTGCATATTTAGCAACCTTGTCAGCCCTGTTGTTCCCTAGAGATACGGTATCTGTCTCCTTAGTTTGGCTGCACACCGAACAATAACAATTTTAGTAGGCAAGTGAAGAGCTTGTATACAGCCGCAATTACATGCCCATTGGCAAGAGGAATACCAGCAGAGGTTGAGGATCCACAGGATTGTGGCAACAGCCCCAGTGGGCTCCAAAGGCATATCTAGGGCTGGTGTAAATTGCGGCAGTTTTTCCTTTTGCCCGTGTTCAGGCTCTGGTAAGAGCTACACATTTAGCAGCTCGGGCTGAGAGTGTGCCTCAAGGGTTTCACATGGGGAAGCTATGGCATGGCCAGTTACTTTGGTTCCCCAGAAGTTTCCTCTGTAGGAATGATCACGAAATAGAACTTAAAGTCTGGGTTGTGTAAAGGGGGTATCTAAGAGATTCCTCTCGTGGCTTCTATATTTGCAGAGCCATCCTGTGGAATGGAGTTGTGCTGTCCCTTATCAAGGATGGGATGATGGTGTAGTCAGATTTAGAGTGTTCCAGCAAGGGAAGATGAAAGAGGGGTCGAATAATAAGGGCCTGTTCATGGGTGATTTGTCACCAGGTGAAGAGGTTGTCTTGTGAACTTGTGAGAGAGCAGACGTAGCGCGAGGAACATAAAGGTGAATGGGAAGCCTGATCTAAGGGTACTGGCTCTGTCGGGGAGGCAGCTGTTGCTAGTGTGCGCAGGCAGGACGGCATGCCTGCCCTCGCGCGGCCCAGCCGACAGCAAGGACTTAGCTGCGAGGCAAAGGATTTCCTGAAATTCCCGTAGCAATCCCAGTATTTTCATAACAATATAGGTGAAAAGTTTTGTCAAAATTAGGTAAGCCAAGAATTATGGGTGTGGACAGTGCTAATTTTAGCCTTTAAAGGAGGTTAAGGAGGGCCTGGAAATGGGCTCAGAGGTAGGTAGTATTTGGGAGGGTAGCAAGGGCAGCCAACTTAGGAATTCACTTGCAGCTGTAGCCAGCTGCCTCTAGAAATTTATGTAGCTGTTTTTTGGGGTTTTGTATTCATCTGTGGGAGAGGGATAGACAAAACTGACTGATGGCATTTGGGAGTGAGCTTTGGAATGCCTTGAGATATCTCCTGTCCTAAGTAGGTTAACAGTTGTTTGTATCCCTTTAAGTTTAGATTAAAAGGGCTTATGGGGCGCCTGGGTGGCTCAGTTGGTTAGGCGACTGCCTTCGGCTCAGGTCATGATCCCGGAGTCCTGGGATCGAGACCCGCATCGGGCTCCCTACTCAGTGGGGAGTCTGCTTCTCCCTCTCCCACCCCCCCTGCTTGTGTTCCCTCTCTCGCTGTGTCTTTCTCTGTCAAATAAATAAATAAAATCTTTAAAAAAAAAAAAAAAAAAAAAAAAAAAAAAAAAGGGCTTATGGCCTCTTTCAGCTCCTGTAAGAGCACACTGCTTAGTCTGGTTACAAGGTAAAAGATCATCAACATACTGAACAAGAGTGGAGCCTTGGAATCTAAGTTGGCTTTAAGGACTTGAGAAATTATTGAGGGAGATTTGCAATATCCCTGAGGCATACCAGTCTATGTTAATTGTCTCTCTCTAAATGTGAATGAAAAGAGGAATTGTGAGTCAGGGTACAATGGAATTGAAAAGAAAGCTGAGCAGAGGTTAATTACTGTAAATCAGGCTGTGTCCGCTGGAATTGAGATAAGAATGGTAGCTGAGGGGCGCCTGGGTGGCTTAGTGGGTTAAACATCGGACTCTTGGTTTCAGGCTCAGGTCAAGATCTCAGGGTTGTAGGCTTGAGCCCCACATGGGGCTCTACGCTCAGCACAGAGTCTGCTGGAGATTATCTCCTTCTCTTTCTCCCTCCTCCTCTGCTCCTCCCCCTCTGCTCCTCCCCTCTGCTCATGCTGTATCTCTCTCTCCTTCTCTAAAATAAATAAATAAAATCTTAAAAAAAACAAGATGGTAGCTGAATTAGGGACTATGGGGGTGTTGAGGAATTACAAAGGCATTAATGGCTCTCAGATCTTATACAAATCAATAGATTTGATTCCAGTCTGAATCAAATTTCCCTTTCTTTACTGGTAAGATTGCGGTGTTAACAGAGCAAGGAAATAAAGAATACCCTGCTGTAAAAGAGAATAGGTTCAATGCCTCGCTGTGCACTCATGGGGGCGGCACTGGGCTACTGGTAGGAGAAGTTTAGTCCTTCTCCAGGTAATGTGCACAACGTGTGCGTTGCTGTAACAATTCAATCTCATTTGCATGTGAGGCCCAGGCGCTAGCTGGGACATCTTCTAAGGCTGCATCCTCTTCAGAACAAGAACAAGCGGGGTATTATCCTCCAGAAGGGGAAAATGAGGTGAACCCTCTGAGGGTGCTGAGGTCTAGGGAGATTGTTTTTTAAACTTTACTTTTTTTTTTTTTTTTTTTTACAGCCATTAGAAATCGAAAACAGGAATATTCATAAGTCACTGTGCCTGAAGAACTAGTTCACACCAGTTTTCTCCTGCTAATCTAAATTTGAAAAAGGAAAAACATGAGGAGAGACTCTTACCACTTTGCTTTCATTGGATCTTACAGGCAGAGACCTAGGACAAAGGTAAAAATTTTTATCTTGTGTTGGCTTATGTCAGAGGTCCCAGTGATATGAAATGTTGGGATCCAGGAGTGAATGGTCAAGAAAGAATTCTTGAGATGTCTTTGGTGCAAAAAAGGTAGTTTTATTAGAGCACAGGCACAGGACTGTGGGCAGAAAGAGTTGCATTGGGGCGCCTGGGTCGCTCAGTTGGTTAAGCAACTGCCTTCGGCTCAGGTCATGATCCCAGGGTCCTGGGATGGAGCCCCGCACTGGGCTCCCTGCTCGGCCGGAAGCCTGCTTCTCCCTCTCCCACTGCCTCTCCCCCTGTGTGTTCTCTCTCTCTCTCTCTCTGACAAATAAATAAAATCTTTTTAAAAAAAATTTAAAAAAAAAAGCTGCATTGAGGTTGTGAGAAGTGACTAATTATATACTTTCAAGTTGGAGGGGGTTAGGGATAGCTTAAGTCTCCAAGGAATTTGTAAGTAAGATTTCCAGGACCTCAAAAGGCTAACTGCTGGGGGCGCCTGGGTGGCTCAGTTGTTAAGCATCTGCCTTTGGCTCGGGTCATGATCCGGGGTCCTGGGATCGAGCCCCGCGTCGGGCTCCCTGCTCCACGGGAGGCCTGCTTCTCCCTCTCCCACTCCCCCTGCTTGTGGTTCCCTCTCTCGCTGTCTCTCTCTCTCTGTCAAATAAATAAATAAATAAATCTTAAAAAAAAAAAAAAAAGGCTAACTGCTGTTAGGATAAGGTCATTTACAGGGAACCCTGGGTGGCTCAGTCAGTTGGACGTCTGCCTTCGGCTCAGGTCATGATCCCAGGATCCTGGGATCAAGTCCCACATCGGGCTTCTTGCTTAGCGGGGAGCCTGCTTCTCCATCTGCCTGCAGCTCCCCCTGCTTGTGCTCTCTCTCTATTTCTCTCTCTGACAAATAAAATTAAAAAAAGAAAAAGAAAAAAAAGGATAAGGTCATTTACTACTGTCTAGTAAAACCTTATTCATGAGAGCCTTCAGATGTATATCAGTGGGCCATATGTTTGGAGGATAAGTGCTAACATCTATCCTGGGGGTGGGTGGGTAGAGATAAAGGAAGTTTCCAAAGGGATTTTTATATGTTAAGGAACACTTAAGGATCCTGGAGGTCCAGCTAATGTCAAGCTAAGGTTGCCTTTGCCTTTAGCCAAGTATTAACATTGAGGCAGTTGAGTTCCTAGAGGAAGGTCTGCCTGTCCCAGATACTTGTCAGTGGGCTGTAAGTTATAAGGAAGTTTGATTTTTTCTATACTTCTTTTGCCTCTGTTCTCCACATCAGCAGGATCTCTCCGCTGAAGCAGCTCTGGGGTGAGCAGTGTCTAACCAGTGACATCCATCCTTGTCAGCAGAACTATAGGTGAGGAAAAATTCTCCTCTACCTACTGTCTTTGGGTCTCCAGCAGGGCCTAAAAATTAAACTGACATAAGACAGATTAACAGGAGAAAAGCACACACGTATTATTATTATTTACACGTACGTGAGAACCTTGGCAAGAGAAGGAAGACTAGAAGAAGTGACCAGAACAGAAAGCTTTTATACCTTTTAGACAAAGAACCAAATGAGACGAAGGGGTTTGGGCCAGGGGTAGTAAATTGTGGAGAAATGCCTAGGAAGATAAACATTAGTGTAACAAGGTTGGTTTGTACAGATTTCTCAGCCTGATTCCCCATCTCTGGTAATAAGACTATTTTTCTTCCTCCTGGTACAGGGAGGGCATCTTTCACATGGGAGTTTTATCTCCTGTCAGGAAAAATTAAGGAAGGTCAGAGTGCCCCTCTTGCACCTCAAGCTCCTTTAACTTAAAATAATCAGTATGCCAAAGCAGCATATTTTGAGGTGACATGCTCTGAACTCCACTATACTGCCTGGATTTTCCCTGATGGCTCCAATTTTAAATATTTTCTCCCTTGTCACATTCTGAATCTTGGATTGTTCAGAAAACACAGGTATGTATTAGTGGTTCTTTTAGTATGATATGAATGAAGATATGACTGTGTACCACTAAATCTTCATGAAACCTCTTTGAAGCTGTTATTACTCCATTTTACAGAATTTGAAAATGAGACACAAAAGGAGTACATAGTCTAAGGTTACTAAAAAAAAATTATAAAGCCTAAGATTGATTCCAAATCCAGCATTTTTAATGCTGTTCTATAGATGCCCACCCTTGCTTTCATTTACCTCCAAATCTGTTAGCCAATAATAGAGACAAAGACAGTATACTCCCTTAAAGAAAACTACCATTGTCCTTTTGCTTTGTACATTCTGGGAATGAGAAGACCATTACCTGAAGATTAGCTGGACTGTGTGTTGTAGCCCAGATTATAGGCTGGTAGTAGATTGGAAAAGGCCCTGATCATAAGTGACACAGAAGCTTTACAGAAATTAGTGGAGGCAAGTCACCTATTGCCCCATGCAAATGATGGAAGCATTCTTCTCAGTGGCAAGGTTGAATCAATTGCTTCTAACTTTTGAAATAGGATCGATAAAAAGTATTGAAATTATTAAAAGTAGCCTGACATAAACTGAACAAGTTCTGAAATGATTTTAAATTTGTCCTTGGCAAAGAATCACATGCTCATCTGTGAGAGGATGTTGGTACTAGAGTCTGATCTCTTGAGTCAGGAAGGTTGTCACATTTGGGAGAGCAGTTAATGCAAACAGGGAGGGGTCATTTGGACTCAATTCATTTGAAAGAGCCTGTCACCTCTTCTGGCTTCACCCCTGTTAAAATTCCAGTAATTCTTGATTATTCCGCATGACAGAAATGAATATGGAGTATGTGGTAGAATTTGCTATGTCCTTAAATTGAAAGCAGTTTAATTTCAAAAAGTACTTTACTGAAATCCAGGCACACTGTTAGTGAGGTAGGAGCTCAGCATTTTCCCCACCCCCTTAAATCTTTTTGCCCGATATGTCCAAGTGAAAAAGATGCCCCAGAAGCCACAGAATGAGTTATTATACTGCAACCATGATCCAGCACATTCAAAATACTGTCAACACAGTTAATCTGACTGGAGCTAGGGTTGAGAAGATAGTGTATGAGAATGCCATAACAATCAGATCAAAGATAGGTATGTTTAGGAAGACATTCCAAACTTCTGAAGTTCAAGTGAAGTGCAGTAAGTTCTTAAGAGGGAGGTGATAAATTATGCTTTAACCTAAGGTGATAATGCAGATTTCTTCAGGCAGCAGTCAAGCTTGTATGTCCATATAATAAATCATCCTCATGATCATTCTAGGAATTAATTTTATAGAGTAACCTCTCCAACAGCAAAAAACTTTGCCAATTTGCCAAATTTCCTCTGAAAACATGGGTTTTCTTAAGTTATCCCTTTCTTATTTTCATTCCATTTTTGTCTCCTTTCCAAATTGAATGACTGTTCCAATAACCCTGTTGACTGGTACAGCAAGTTATTTCTCTGTCTTCTGGGAATTTTATCCATTTGGTTTTTTTTTTCTCTTCCATCATCACTGCTATACACTTCTATTATAGTTTCCTCTGAGAATTGAGTCGTCATCATAGCTAATTGCTATTTGTTGCAGCTTCCCTTTTATCTTCATCTTGGCCTGCAGCAGCTGCCATCCATGTACCCCACCATTAATTGGTCTCCACCCTACTCAGCCAACCTCACGTCCAGCAGACACCCTTTGCTCCAGCCAGATTGCTGTCTTCCATCTTTTTTTTTTTTTTAAGACTTTATTTCTTTGAGAGAGAATGAGAGAGAGAGAGAGAGCATGAGAGGGGGGAGGGCCAGAGGGAGAAGCAGACTCCCCGCTGATCAGGGAACCCAATGCGGGACTCAATCCTGGGATTCCAGGATCATGACCTGAGCCGAAGGCAGTTGCCCAACCAACTGAACCACCCAGGCACCCTGTCTTCCATCTTTCTTATGGAGACTGTTCTCCTCTTGGCCTTTGGGCTTTGGTGCATGTTATTCTCATTAACCTGTAATGCTTCCCCACCCATCCTAATCCTACCATTCCTTTTTCAGTTCAAATGCCGACTTCATGAAGTTTCCCTCTAGAATTCACATTGATCTCTCCATTCTCAGTATTTCTAACAAACCAATTGTGAAAACCTCACATTTAATTTGTCTCTATTTTGTATACCAAGCTTTCTTCTTGGGGAGAGGGTTATCACCTCAAGATCAAGGCAGTGAAGTGTTTGCTTCCATTCTTTTTTCTTTTCTTTTCCTTCCCTTTCCTTTCCTTTCCTTTCCTTTCCTTTCCTTTCCTTTCCTCTCCTCTTTCTTTCTTTCTCCTTCCTTTCTTTCTTCCTTTCTTTCTTTCTTTCTTTCTTTCTTTCTTTCTTTCTTTCTTTCTTTCTTTCTTTCTTTCTTTCTTTCTTTCTTTCTTTTTCTTTTACCTTCCTCTGCATTAATTATTACCCTCTGCATTGTATAACAGCCCCCTATTGATGAGGCTATCTCCTGGGCTGGTAATTTTTCAAAATTTTTCAGTCCTTAAGCCTCTGCCTTCGGCTCAGGTCATAATCCTGGGGTCCTGGGATTGAGCCCCGCATCGGGCTCCCTGCTCCCGGGAAGCCTGCTTCTCCCTCTCCCACTCCCCCTGCTTGTGTTCCCTCTCTCGCTGTGTCTCTCTCTGTCAAATAAATAAATAAAATCTTAAAAAAAAAGATATTAAATTTCTTTTCCTACCTTCAACTCAAAAAACACCAAAATTTTCTGGACATTGCCTGGCACATTGGCTTGCCTTATAGCACAATGTTATGTAAGTTTTCTCCCATTAGCGTATTAAGTATCCTTTAGAAGGGAAACTATACTTTTACCATCTTTGTAACTTCCACAGTCCCTCAAACAGTACCTTGAGCACAGAAACAATCAAATATTTATTCAGTTATATTTTGTCATATTCTGCAACCACTAATACAATTCTGGTCAAAAAATACTTGTTGAATTACCTCTGTTGTAACACTAAGATATGTTACTACTTATCTTCCACTCTCAGTGGGGCTATTTTATGAGG